CTTCCTATAGTCTCTTCCATATCTAGATGGGTTTTCCTTACCTTTCTTACCTTGAGTAAGCATGTAACGCGCAAAATCAAAATCCATTGCAGACCTATTTGGTATGAACCTGTCAAAATTTTCCCGAGAATTCCTTTTCTGAAGAAGCCGTTCTTCAAGAGGGCACCTAGACCTCATTGTTATGTTAAGATGCCACAGGATAATATATATGTGAAAAAGAAAAACAATAACAAAAAAAGTGGAAGCACCTACTATCTCCAAAGAAGATAAGATAAAAAATGCCAAGGCTTTGAGTCTTATTCAAGGAGCACTAACTGATGAACTCTTTCCTCGCATCAGAAATGAGAAGACTGCAAAAGGTGCTTGGGAAATTCTGAGAAGAGAGTTCAGAGGAGATAAAAAGGTAAGAGCTGTGAAATTACAAGCCATTAGAGCTGATTTTGAATATTTAAGAATGAATGATGCTGAATCTCTGGATGACTACTTTGCTCGATTTTTTGGAATTGTAAACAACTTGAAATCTCTAGGAGAAGATGTAATAGAGAAAAGGATTGTCCAAAAATTGCTGATGAGTATAAGTAGGAAGTACAAGTCCATAGTGTCAATCATTGAAGAAACCAGAGACCTTGAAACTATTAGAGTTGAAGAAATTCTTGCATCTGTCAAAGTCTATGATAAGAGAGAGGATTTGCATGATGAAAGGGATAAGTTGGCAGGAACTGAGAAAGCTTTTAGCAGCTTCAGAGTTGGAAATAATCAAGCTTCTGGAGCTAACAAAAGTTCTCAGGGAAAGCAAAATCAAAAATGGCAAGGACAAAACAAAAAGGGCTCGAATTGGTCTCAAGGTGGAAACTCAAATTGGAATAATGGCTCTGGAGGGAATTGGAACAATAGTTTCAATTCACAAAACAAAATAGAAGGAAGTAGCAGTCAAGGTGGTGTGAAACCACAGTGCCAAGTGTGCCAGAAATACCATTTTGGTATCTGCAGATATAAAGGAAAACCCAAGTGTGGGAAGTGCAGTCGATTTGGCCATTTAACTAAGGACTGTGAAAGTGGTAAACAAGTTGCAAACTGTGCAAAGGAAGAAGAGGTAACCACAGGAACAATGTTCTATGCTTTTCATGCAAGTTCAATTGTATCAAGCAAGTCTGTGTGGTTTGTTGATGAAGAAGAGGTAACCACAGGAACAATGTTCTATGCTTGTCATGCAAGTTCAATTGCATCAAGCAAGTCTGTGTGGTTTGTTGACAGTGCATGCAGCAACCACATGACCTCTCAACAGTCTTTATTGATCAATCTTGATATGTCAGTGACCTGCAAAGTGAAAATGGGCACTGGTGATCTTGTTCAAGCCACAGGAAAAGGGACACTTGTAGTTGAGACAAGAAAAGGGAAAAGATACATGAATGAAGTGCTGCTAATTTTTCTTCGATTTTGTTGTTTAAAATCTTGAATATTTAAACTTCTTTTTATTTTTTCGAGTTTTTTTATTTAAACCCTACACTTCTCTTTATTCACCCTATATAAGTTTACCTCAACTTCTTATTCAAATTTTCTCAATTTCTAAGAAAACAACACTATCTTCCCAAACTACCCCTAAATACACACCAAGCATTAAAAAAAATATTTTTTTAAAAAAAAAACTCATCAACCTCACATACCGCACCCCACTATCTTGCCCCTCACGACTCTAAGTTCACCTTAACCTCATAATTACAACAAGTCTTTAATCACAGCATCCTCAATAATTTTGGGAGGAGTTCCAAACCAAGAAATAATCTCACATTACATAACTCAATTGATGACCCACAAGCCACTATGTGCATATCGTATTTAGAATTTGTGAAGAGAAGATGAGAGTGTAGTAGGTTTCTTGGGATTGAAAGAGGAGTAATATGACAATAGGGTGTAGAGAAGTTTGGGTCTTTTTAAAACTTAATATGAAGAGTGGTGGGGTGTGTGTATAGATGTACTAGGGTTAAGTTTTAAGTTGGATGACCTTTTTCGTCTTTTTATACAATAATAAAATTTAAGAGCTTAATGATTTAAGTATTGGGGTGAACAAAGAAAAGTATGGAGTTTAAATAGAAAAACTCTTTTTTTCTATATATTTGTTGTTGTTGTTGTTGTTGTTGAGTTTGCCTCATTATTGATTTTTGTGTTTAGCTTAGGTTAAGCAGTTTTTAAAGTGTTTTTCTTTTTCTCATCAATATTGTTTTTTATTTTTATTTTTTATACATGCGATATTTGGGGAGTGGGGAAACAAACTTGGGACCTAAGATGCAAGGTTAAATGCTCTTAATCACTTGAGCTACAAGCCACTTACACATAAGTATTGTTTTTTTAAAGCTACAAGCCCCTCATGCATAAGTATTGTTTTTTAAATTTGCTTAAACACGGGAAAAATTGTGAGCATGTATGGGGCACGTACCAAGAACATTTTACTCAAAACCAAGCAATAAATAATGCACAGATTAAAATTGAGGCTCATAACAAATTTTTTATTTATTTGGAAAATGAAAGATAAAGCTTTAATTGGATCAACAAAGTTACAGTTATACTAGTAGTAGGAGGAGCTCACACAAGCTCACTAGCAAATGCTGCTAATTCATGAGCTGCAACATAAAAAGTTCAAAGCATTTGTTGAGCTACAAAGTGGATTCAATTTAAAGAAACTAAGAAGTGACAGAGGTGGAGAGTACACTTCTCATGAATTCCTTGAGTATTGCAGTGATCTTGGCATGGAGAGGCAACTGACTATTGCCTACTCACCTCAGTAAAATGGGGTTGCTGAGAGAAGAAACAGAACCATCTGTGAAATGGCAAGATCAATGATAACTGAGAAGAAAATTCCTGTAAAGTTCTGGGCTGAAGCAGTTGGTACTGCTGTGTATATGCAAAATAGGTGCTATACCACTACAGTCACAGACAAAACACCATTTGAAGCTTTCACAGGAAGAAAACCTGGTGTAAAACACTTAAGAGTGTTTGGAAGCATCTGTTACAGTCACATTCCATCAAATCTTAGACAGAAGTTTGATGACAAAGCAAGCAAAGGAATCTTTATGGGTTATGGCAGTTGTGAGAAGGGTTACAGGATTTATAATCTTCAAACTGAGAAGATAATACTCTCAAGAAGTGTTGTTTTTGATGAGAACAAATCCTGGAATTGGGAAAGCAAGCAAGTTGAAACTGTCTCCATGCCTTTCAGTTTTGGAAATGAAAATTCCGAGACATCTGAAACAGATGAACTTCCTCATGAAACTCAAGGCATTGACTCTCCAAATCCCACTCAACAAACCACAGATGATGAACATACCTCTGGAAGCAATTCCAGTGGTTCCAGTCAAGGTTCAACTCCAAGCAATACACCAGTAAGGCTAAGAAGCTTGGAGGACATCTATGCAAGATGTCATATGACTATTATTGAACCAGAAACATATTATGAAGCTATTGAAGACAAAGCATGGAAGGAAGCAATGGAAGCTGAGATTGAAACTATAGAAAAGAATGGAACTTGGGAGCTGGTGGAAAGACCTACACATAAACCAGTCATAGGAGTAAAATGGGTGTTCAAAACCAAGCTTAATCTGGATGGATCAGTTCAAAAACACAAGGCTAGGCTTGTAGCTAAAGGGTATGCTCAGAAACCTGGTATTGACTTTAATGAAACCTTTGCCCCAGTGGCAAGGTTAGATACAATTAGAACTTTGATTGCACTTGCAGCACAAAAGGGTTGGAAGTTGTTCCAACTAGATGTGAAGTCAGCCTTCTTGAATGGAGTACTTGAGGAGGAGGTTTATACTGAGCAACCAGAGGGCTTTGAAGTGAAAAAGGCCAGTCATAAGGTTTATAAGCTAAGGAAGGCTCTCTATGGTTTGAAGCAGGCTCCCGCTATCATACTCAAAGTCACAACCAAGACTAGGGCTTTTACCTTCCATGGAAGCGCAAGCCTTAGTTTTCGAGCAAGAAAACTCATCAGGTTCAGAGATATCATCCCCATAGCCATAATCAACATCTTCATCCATGAGTTGATACTCCTCTGGTTCTGGGATTCTGAAGTGGAAAATCTCACGAGGCCCGATAGCTCGCATCCTTGGCTTGCTGCTTTGAAACCCACGGTTGATCAGTTGTGCTTTACTTTCGTTGTTGGAAGCCATAGATTCAAGTATGACCATAACCAGTCAAACCCAGAATGTAGAAAACGCAAAAAATTTGAACACAGAGAAAGAAGCGTAAATCGTAAGCAAGAACGAAAGCAAAGATTGAAGAAAGAGGAGGGGTGAATCCTAATTCTACTAGGAAAGTAGGATTTGTCGACCGTTTGTAATTTTCATTCGAAAATAATCCTTTTCGTTTTTTAAATATAAAAAAAGACCCTCTTCATTTTGGAAATAATAATAATAATAATATTGTTGGGCTGGAAACAAAGCCCAATGGGCGGATAGACGTAAATGGGTCCAATAAAATGTTGCCTCCCTTCTCTAAAAACAAAAAAGAAAAAGGCTCTCTTTTCCTTATTATCAGAACTTAAGAAGAAGCCCGCAGAACCAGAAAAAGACCGCGCACTTGTACTTCTGCTTCAGTTAAAGTAAGCTCTCTCTCTCTCTCTCTCTCTCTCTCTTTCTCTTCCCCCCATAATTTTCTGATTATTGTTGTTATAATATTTTGCGGTTTGTTATTTGAATAACCTTTTGTGCCTGTTAGCTGTTTGTGAGAAGTTCTCTGATGTAATTTTCTCTATGGGTTTTTGCTTGATTAACGCCAAAATTCACAATTCTAATGATCTGGGTTTGCCTCGTCATGGAGAAAGTCTTAGAATTAAGGAAAAAAGGTTTAGATTTAGGTTTTTCTTACGTATTTTTAACTTGCCAAATAAGAGTCTTTTAGAAGGAAGGTTCTCCTTTAATCAGATTATGTGAAATATATGAGGAGGAGGAGGTTGTGCAAGGGATGCTGGAAAGAAAGCAGAAATGGTGTCTGAGATGAATGCCTTTAACAGGTTTATAATATAACTGCGGAAGGCTACTAGGTTTTTATTGGCTCACATATTCAGCATCTTCTATAGAGAAAGCCTAGAATGAATTTGGAATCTTTTACTCTAATTCTTAACCCATATCTATCCGCCATGCTCAAGCGTAGTATGTAATGTATATCTAATTTTAAACATAAAATATAGATCATTGCTTGCTCTTTTGCATTTTCAGTTGTCTTTATGTAGTTCTCACTTCTTGGTTACTGAATACATATACCAGAAAGTCATTTCTTTCAGCTTGTTAATTTCTATTAAACTCTGGCACATCCCATTCTCAGTTCTGTAATTGTCTATTTTCCTTACAGTTAATTTATTTATGGACCGTTGGCATGGGGTTCTAAAGGTCCCATTGAACCCTAATGCCAGGACCTACTACCGAGTTGCAGCATCTCTTTGCCTCTCACGTACTTCAAAGACACTAACCGTAAGTTCTGCATACTCAACCCTTTGACTCACTATGTCACATAGCTTACTATTAATAACTCAAAGACATGCAAACTTTTGGTTCCTGTCTTCAACTGAATTCTCTTGAAAGATTCACACTTTAGTCAGGTTTCCTTCTTTCTCCTGAAAATGTTAGAAATACATGACTACTAATTTCCTATGAGGCGTAGTCTATGAATTCTGAATGCATATGTCTTTTCTTCAGGACAGATCTTAAACCCTTACTATATTTGTCTCCTTTCTGACTTTGGAAGAATGAAGACTTGACTGTCTTAAAATTTTCCTGGAGACAGGTTCCTTCAGCAAATGCCATCTTTTTCAATGGAGATCGAGTATCAGGCACTGGTAATCCAGTGATTGAGAGGCTATCTGACTTGCAAAATATAGCTGAAATACTGGTCTCAAAGATTGGTGAGTCGACCAATGCTTGGGTTATTGATGCTTCTGTTTTCAATGGGCCCTTTGCTGTGTATCGCGACTTTGTACCATCTGTTAATCAATGGGGAGAGCCAAAGTCATACTGCCCTGTTGGATCCCCAGATTTTGAGTCCATTATTTCGCTCTTATCAAGTTGCCTTCAAGAGGTATATATAGACCTGACGTTGTAGTGTTCCTGGCATCATTATTTTTTTTGGTTATTTAATCACTCAAGTAGTGTTTGCTTAACTGTACATTTTATGGGGAAGAGAAGAGTGTGCATGCAGATGAAATACGCTCTGCATAATATCAGTGATTGTCAAAATTTAAATTGGATAGACTGAGGGCTATTGCTTAAAATACTCATCCTTCTGATGAACTCTGAATTGCTCTTAGCAGTAGATGGTTCCCATCTCTAAACTTTTGACAGTTGCAGGTTAAGAATGACATTGCGAGAGAGAAAGAACTGCTTGTACCAGGAATATCTGCATCACATTTTAACATACCTAAAACATTAATCTTTGGATTCAGCAAGGGTGGTACTGTACTTAACCAGC